AAGTTAAAAATGTGCATGCAAATTTATTGAAATTTCGCGAGTTTTGTACAATAGATAGAAATGATATTTTTATGTTTTTGTTGTAGAATGAACCATAGTTGTATATAAAAATAGCGGAAAAATATTAGAATAAAAATTGTTGCATTTATTGTGAAAAATTCTCTGTGCGAATACTTTTTTCCGGCAGTGTATGCGTGTGTGTATGGTATGTATGTAGTTACATTGTTTGTTGGAAGCGAGCTCTCAGTTCAGTAAGTAAGGCAGCAATGAAGGAATTTTATTTGCCAAAAACCTTGGTATGTCGATATTCAAATATTTATTGTTCACATAATTTATTAGAAATCCTGAAGTGCACTCATTCGACCTTTTTATTGAGTAAATTTATTGGTTTTTGTTTATTTGACAGCAATCCAAAAAAGGTGTCTATTGTGCAAACGATGGCTTCATGGTATGGAAAAAACTAAATCTGATGCAAATGGCATGCCAAATGGAATCTATTTTTAAATTTTAAAGATTTGTATAGAAATTGTGGTCTTCGAATACGCCAATGACAGCATGCGAATACGTTTTGTAATCGTAATCGCAATCTTAATCGAAATCGTAGTCATAATCGTAATTGGATTTTTAGTCATAATTGTAGTCTTAATATAATTATAATTGTAATCAAAATTTTTTTTTTGTAATCGTATTGTTTATCGAGACCATATGTTTTATTTGTATNTTAATTGTAATCAAAATTTTTTTTTTGTAATCGTATTGTTTATCGAGACCATATGTTTTATTTGTGTTTTTATTTTTATCGTCATCGATACGATCATCGTTACATTTATAAATACTGGTGTCGTTAGCGTTGGCGATAATATTTATTTTATCGTTATCGTAAATTTCACCCACACTTTTAATTTTATCAATATTGATATTGATACTGTCGTCAATATATTTTTTTCTTGTTATCGTCATTGATACTGCTATCAAAAGCATGCAAGTATTTTATCGTCATCGCAATTGGAATTATTTTCGGTACTAAATATTAGTTTTATTGTTATTATCGTAGATATTTATACTGTTATCGATACCTTTTTGTTTCATCGTTATCGTTATTGATACTCTTTACGATACTGTTTGTTTTATCGCTGTCGATATTGATACTGTTATCGATTCTTTTTACTCTAACGGTAGTCATACCATTATCGAAAACGTCATCGCTATTGATACCATTTTAGATACCTACTATTTATTTCATCGTTATCGTTATTAATACTGTAGTCGACTCTATGTATTTTAACGTTATCGATATTAATACTGTTGTCGACATTCTTGTTGTTAAGATTTATGCCACAATTATTGTTATCATATTGTTATCGATTACTTAATGTTTTTTATAAAAAAAAAATAAAAATTCTTTATTAGGGCCTCAACGAAATACTACTAAAAGTTTGGTATCTATGCCTGGCAGTTAAATCCTAAATGGATTTACAGTGGGCTAAATGTTCACTTTTTGGCCAGAAATTCTGTTCTATTACATGCCAGTTTTGTGCAACACGATTTTAAATACTATAACGCTTGTCTCCGGGTACCGTTAGCAAGAATTTTTTCGTAGATCAATTTAAATCTTTAAGTCCAAATGAAATGGGTGTTTTCGACGTTTATTTTGAAAAAATTCAATTATTTCCAAATTGTAATTTAGTGGAGAAATGCAATTATATTATATATAATTGTATGCTGTGCGATATGGCCCCCCCCAACTACTGGAAACTGTAGCTGCGCTCCATTTGTCTGCCCACAGCATTTATAAGACACGCTAGCGCGCTCTATTATTCTATTCACACTTTTATATGCAACTACAAAAATTATAATTAATATCTAAAATTTCTTTGTTATGTACAAAAAACTAGAAAAACCCTGCCGTTAACATCATTATAATTAGTACGTGACGAATTATTCAGCTAGCATACAAATGGCATAGCGATTATTTTCATTGCATTTATTTATCATTAGTTTCTGATCAATTGAAAAGCGACATTTTTTGTTTTGTTGTCACTGTGATTGGTATGACGTGCATCATTCATCATCATCATCTTCATCATGCATAAACATATGAAATTTTGTAAAAAAAAATATACCCTCGCATTTGTTATTAGATATGAGTAGGTACGAGTGTAATGTGCATAGGCACATAAATATAAATACTTTGACATACATACAAATGCATTCAAAAATGCTATCAATTTGGAAATACGCAAAAATTTCCAAGAAATCTTAATAAATCACAAATTTTTCCGTTATTTTATAAATTCATTTAAAAAAGTAAGCCAGTTACTTATGGAAAAAATTGTGCTTTAATTTTGGCTTGGCTTTTCTTGATCAAAGTATTAAAAGAAAGCATCTAGTATAAGCCTTATGATGACTTCGAAAAGGCGATTCGCAATTTCTTTCAATAAATCTTTTTTTGTTTATTTCAAAGTCTAAAAATAAATCTTGGTGTTGTTGTCTTGTGTTGTTTGTCTTCTTTGAAGGCAAGGTATAAAAAATTCTCTCACAGTAAAAGCCGCCTCAATTTCAGTTTACAGCCTTTTGATCGCTTAAATCAATTTTCATCCCCTACTTAAACGCATGCCTTTCCTTTGTTTTACGCGACAGTATGTCGGGTTAGAGCAGTATCGAAAGTAGCACTGTCGTTCACAGGGTCGCCAAGAGCAAACCCAAGCTTGGTACTAAGTATGGGACTGGGTCAACCACTCCCCCCCCCCCAATAATTTACCAAAGTAATTTTATCTTCCAACTTAATTTACGAAAATTTCGGGGTCTTGAAAAATCTTGGCCAGGGGGAAAACCTGGTGTTCCAGTCATTGAACAATTGAAAACCCCACTGCTCTTTCCACTCGGCTCTCGTCGATTGGATCGGGTAGCGTTCGATAGACCGATCCATACTCTCTATCATAAAGACTTAATGCTTTCTTTTCATAAGTACTTACTTCTTATGCCTAGCATCTTTCGTAAAAATGCATGGCATATTAAGACGATTTCGCAGATGACACTTTTTATTTATTTATTTATTTGTTTATTGTATTGATATGTATGATCAGGTAACTAAAGTAGGACTTAGCACAGTCGCAGAAAATACATGCCTGGTATTTTTTACTAGGGAATATCTGATTACACTACAACAAACTACGTTGGTGGTTGTCTTCCCTTTTCACTGGCACTTGTCTGGCAATGGTGGACATATATGAAGAAGAAAATCTTTTAAGCAAATGTGGCGATTGTTAATATAGGGATTTTCTATGATAAGTGTGACAAGGGCATTTAGAAAGACACTGGTAACGGTATTCTAGATATCTTCAGCCGACGTACCTGATGGCTTAATACCACGGGGAAGTGAATGTACCACACCCACGATCGATAATAGTAGAGTACAATTAGTAATGAAGGGAAGCCATGGCTGAGTTAAGTGCTAATAGAGGAGAAAACCTGCACTCGATTTCGGATTAGATGTCCCTAGCACTAGGAGGCAGATGCTCTTTCGCTAGATGGACAGATAGAATATTTGTGAGCGCGAACCCAACACGATCCAGCAGGCAAGGAAGGGGAGAACTATTGATAAAGATCTATTGTTTTAAATACAAATTGTAGGCACTCCAAACCTTAGGCTATTTAAGGAAGTAGGGGAAATTGTGGGTGCCATGTTTCAAATTTTAGATAGAGAAGATAGTCGTTTTTCAGTTTTCGTTTTAGTCTATGATGTGCAGGCGCATAGAATATGCTCTGGGATTTCCTCGTTCATTGCCTCGAAATCCTTCATGTCCATGCATCCACCACAGCGTCCGTCAATTGTGGGCTCTTGGGCCGTACAAAAGCGTTGTACGTAAGCTTTGATGCCATTCTAAATAAGTCTACTGCCTTTAATGCTGCCTGACTATTCAACATAATATTTCATCTGGCCCCAATTTTCCTTCTACAAGGACATTCTCGAAAACTGACCTCGATTGTGAAGATTTTCACTTGGACTTTGATTGGCCATGAGACCATTGACAGACTTTTTTGAAGTCTTGGTTTAAGTACGCCTGCGCCAGTGATTCCGTTGTGCATCTTGGATCCGTTGGTATAACATACTTGGAGCCCTTTGTAAGGTGAGGAATAAAACGCAATATTTGTGTGTGCAGCATACGACATGAAGCTTCCATAACCCCTTTTATTTTTAAGAGCGAAGACGCTAGGCTTTTAGAACACTCCTTGTTGACATCAGATTTAGGTTTGTTGACTCGTAATGTATTTTGCAGGAAATGCGGAAAGAATGAAAAGGCTGCGAGTCTGATACCTGGGAATAGGGTTTGTTTTTAGCGAATCTGGAGGCAGCTGTCATGGGAGTGCACAAGAAGTTGTTCAAGCTTGCCATGAAAACTAACATGGACTTTCAATTTAGGGTTTAGCTAAGTAATCTTGTGCTAGTCTTTCTGGTACCGTTTTGTATCTTTATGGTCCCTGCGCAGAAACTTCTTATATGTACCTATTTGAGTTCTTCTTTAGGGAAAAAATGTTGATATCCAAAACTGCAACTAAAACTGGAATAACTCACGAACCGGCATTGTATTATTCTCGCAAAATTTACTTCAGGTTATTTTAATTTAAAATTCCTGCTTATTTATAAATTATATCGCTACTGTTGCATGCACAAGTAATTTTCAAATGATTTTATTTTTAGTCATGAACAGTACCATATATGTACATGTGTGTTTTGTAGATACTATGAGAATGGCCTTCCGATATCGCTGTGCTTTTTATTAAGGCAGCTCTGAGATAAGTAAATGTATAATATTACCAACCACCGCCAGCTAATTATATCAACGAAAAGGCAGAGCAAAATACAAAAGCATAAAAAAGTACATATATTATATATATTTTTTTTCAACTAATCAGCATTCAGTTCAGGCAATTACCGCTTCGCTCTGCCACCGCGTTGGCATTATTCGTTTTGAATTCCCCACATAGCGAAGACGCGCGCGCAGCTGATGCCGATAGCTCACACGCTATGCGCTGAAGCGAAACGCTTATTCATTCGGGCGCATCGTCAACAGTCCAAACTTGACATTCATCGTAAACACTTGACCAGTGCGCTACTGTTGAGCGGGCGTGAAAACGAGTTCGCGTGCTAATTATTTTGTTTAGTTTTTTTTTGTTTGCTAGCGAAAGCGATTAAATCGAATTTTATTAGCCACAAAGTAGTTATGCAGCTTTTTATATTTGCCATTTTCGCATGTGCGTTGCTGCGTTGTGATGCGTCGTCGCCTAACCATACACGTGTAAAGCGCATTGTGGGTGGCCGTCAATCGAAGGCGCCGCCACCCGATGATCCGGTAGTATTCACGCGCACCTTCAATCGCGATGCGCGCGTCGAAGGTTTTCGCAATGAACGCACCGGCATTTACTCATTCCTCGGCATGTATTACGCCGAACCACCAATTGGCCTCTTGCGTTACGCGCGTCCGGTCTACAAACGCATGGCTGGCGACATCAATGCCACCAGTCACGGGCCGCCCTGCATACAACCCGATCCGTATGATCCGCGCCGTCTGGTGGGCGAGGAGAATTGTCTGCTGCTGAACGTTTACACGCCGCGCATGCCGGACGAAAACACCGGCTTACCGGTTTACGTGTGGATACATCCGGGCGGTTTCCGTTATGGTTCTGCAGCGCAATACGATGCCACGCCCATAGCGCAACAGGGTGTAATAGTTGTAGCGCCACAATATCGACTCGGTTCTTTGGGTATCATGGGCGATGGCACCAAGGAGTTCGATGGTAATTTGGCGATCTTCGACATGGCAGCGGCGTTGCGTTGGGTTAACGATTACATTCATCACTTTGGCGGCGATCCAAAGCAGGTGAAGGCCATTGGCCATGGCTCGGGTGCAGCGAGCGCAATGTACTTGTCAATGTCGCGCTCGGCGCGCGCCGCTGGTGACGTGTCGGGCGTGGTGGCAATGTCAGGCACGGCGCTTTCTCAGTACGCCACCGATAAGGAACCGGTGCAGAGTGTGGAAGAGGTGGCGACCATCAATGGCTGTCCCACAACAAATGAGCTGGCGATTGTGCAGTGCTTGCGGGAGGTGAGTGTAACTTTGTTTGTTTGTGCGTTTGCCTGTATGTGTGACTGAGAGGGAAGAAGATAAGCGGAGGAATGAAAGTGAAACTGAAATTATTCAACAGCAGAGGAGTGCACAAGGTTTTTAATATTATTCAATAAGAAACATAAAATATTAAAAAAAACAAAAAAAAAAATAAAACACATTTCGTTTAATTTCATTTTGTTGCTTGATTTGATTTGATTTGATTTGATTTAACACCTTTTAATTTTTTTCCCGCAATCTCTTCTGATTTTCCAGAAATCCGCCGAAGAGATCATTCAAAATGACTCAAAAGTCCAAACGGAGCGCCTTGCCGGACGCGCCTTGGTCAAAGGCCTCTCCGGCAACGTAGGCTTCACACCGCACATTGAGGGCGAAAATGATGGACGTGCGTTGCCTAGCTTAATCGTTGGCGAACCAGAGCAACAGCTGCGCAATGGCAACTTCACACCCATACCACTGCTGACAGGTGTCACTAAACATGAAACCGCGAATGCTGTCAGCCTCGATACGCTGAATAAGATTTTTGGCTCTGCGCAACAGTTCCTCAATTCACTCACCGATGCATTGAAGGACCTGACCGGATTTCTGCGCATCGATAGCCTTACAGGTGAAATCGCAAAACCCGTACTACCTGGACTCACGTCGGCATTGACGCCCACATTGAATGATTTGCTAAAGGTGCCTGAAACGCTAAATTTGGATCAAGTGCTGTCAAAGGTATTACACACAATTTATTTTACTCCTACTCTCGACTTTCGTTTTTTATTTTGCTAACACAAAACTTTCCCCTTCAGGTCATTGAATCCACCACCGATATACTCTTCAATCTACCCGCCGTTTTGAGCACACAGGTCTGGTCACAGCTTGCGCCCTCATTTATGTATAGTTTCGAGTATAACGGCACACGATCGAAGGGCATAAATTTCTTGCGTGGCCTGCCGATAGTCGCCGAGACAGCTGCTAATAATAACACGGAGGTAGTAGCGCATGGCGATGAACTCGGCTACATGTTCGACGCGAATGACTTGTTCGGTAATCCCATACCAGAAGCGCAGCTTAGCGATGCCGAGGACTTAAAAGTGCGTCAGAATTTGATTGGCATGCTGGTGAAATTCGCCAAATCGTTTGGTGGCGAAGACGGAAAAGCATCTACAGAAGATTCACTTTTTCAAAGCGTAACCGGCAAAGGTGTGCCATTCATAAAGGTGGATACAGAGTTAAGTGCCGGCAGTGACTTTCGATTTTGTGAGCTCTCAGTGCTGGGTGCCTCACTCACTCCTTTGACTTCAACCACATGCAAGAGTTTGGGTGGTTTGCTTTCACCGCTGACGGATGTAGTTGGTGGTACGCTTGGTAATACTTTGGGTGGTGTCGGCGGCGTGCTAGGTGGCGGTGGTGGTGGTGGTGGAAGCGGTGAAAGAAATATTGGCGGTGGTGCTGTCAGTGGAGTTGGAAATACTTTGGGTGGCGTGCTGGGCGGAGGTGCAAATCGCGGTGTAAGACCCGGGGCTGGTCGTGGACAGGACGGTCGTTTTACTAGTAGGGAAACCGGAGGTTTACTTGGCGCCGGTGGATTGCTGGGATGAAAATATTCATGGTTTTGTAATTTTACTTAGGTATGTCTTCATAAAACTCAACAAGTATGTGAAGAAATAAACAGTTATAGGAAAACAGTTGTAGTTCTTTCTTTTCTGGCTCTGTCCTCCGCATCTCCCTTCACGCTTTCTCCGGCGAGAAGTCGAGCTACATCTGACATCTAAATGTATATGAATATGACAACGTGAATGCTCAATGGTTCCCGAACCGGTCAATTCAGCTGGTCATCCAATGAGCCTGTACGACCGGATGAAAGCAGTGAGGTAGGTTTCGCCCTCCAGTGCTTACTGCGTCATGTCTGCCGCCCTGTTTTTCGCGAGAAGACCTAGGACGCCTGTTCGAGAACCCCAGGCGATGTTTGTTCGGGGACCTTGAGTAGTGCCTGGTAGCCGAGCGAGGCCAACTGGTTAATCGAGTCCTGCTACTGGAGCGTTGCCTTCTTTCTTAGCCGTGCTGACTACCAGAACGCTCCTCTCATGGCGCCTATAAGTAGAGACTTCGTAAATTGGATTAGTGCCTTTACCTTGGTTGCTGCTTTCGCTGGAGGCGGTACCGTATCTCCCAGATTTAGGGAGGGTATTTTAGTGGAAGACCCCCATCACTGGTGGATAGCTCATCATCGTCCTTGGCGTGTTGGACGAACAGAGCCGCTTTAGCCTCAGAACACACCGACGGCAAGGTGCCTTCTCTGGCGGGGGATATTACCCTAATATGTTTGGCTTCTATGGCAAAGGAGAATGGTTATTAAAAAATTTGCTAATCCAAAGCTAAGCAGAGCTCTGCTGAAGTGGAACAGTAAAGGCCTTTCAGCGTTTCTATGGAAAGCAAAGAGGGTAATTTTGAAAACCCACTTCAGATTTTCTATCAAGCCATATCTTCTATCCATACATATGTATGTGTACATACCTTGGATAAAAGAAGGAAAGAGTGGACATAACGTTTCCTCTCATTGACCCTTCTCTTTCGTGATGAGCAGTTATACCAATTTTCCTTCAAAAATCCACTTTATTGAGTGGCTTTGGTTTTATTGGACATCTCCACCACAATTCTTCAAAAATTCTTAATGAAATTTATCTATTGCGTTCATAGAGCGATATAAATACTCATTTTGGCAGGTTCTTTAGACCTATTTAGTACTTAGCCACTACTTTTAAAATGCATTTAAAATGGCTAAAAGTTATTTTCCACTAATAAATAGTTCCTTCCCACCTCAATATTACAGTCACTCGTTGACATCTAATAATTTGGTTTCTATTAACAATGCTGTTAATAATACATTATTACTCATAATAATAACAAAAAAAGCGCTCATAACCAACAATACTTATACAAAGTGCTGTTAACCAGCTTAATTGAATAATTCAACCCCAAATCAACGCTTTTGATTACCAAAGTGCTTGGAGTGGTGAGACCATTGACCCGAAACAACCGACCCAGCTAAACTCTCAAAACAATGAGTGTCAGTCAATCAGGTAACCAGCCAGGCAGGCAGGTTGGCTAGCGGACAAAAGCATTCCAAACCGACTGCATGTACATATACGACTTGTGCCCCCATCAGCTAGCAGTTTACAAAGGTGTCTAACTGACAATTTGAAAATCAATAGCGGTCAGTTGGTAGCGCTGGCCGGTTGTTGGTTGCGTGTCGCTAATTGGCTACAAGGGTGCTAAATTCATACACATTAGAGTATTCATTAAATCAAGTAAATAGGAAGTCCTTTAAAGGGGTGTACACAAACAGTTACAAGCTATAGATATTCACATAAACAAGTTGGATTATTTAGAGCTACAACGAGGTTGTGTTAAAAAATCACAAAAAGCAAATTCACTGTCTGATTATTTTTCGCGCCTTCATTTGACGCGGCTGAACTCTACATGACCGTACTGCTTTGGCTTTGATGTACTAAATTGTTAATTAAATTTCATAGTTGGTGCTTATACAGGGTGTTACAGAATGTTGTTTATAACTTTATCTCTAATATTGGTTCAAATTTGTTTCATTTGAAGAAAATTTAAGAAAGAAAATAGCGTCCTAACAGGAAATCCATTACCTTGTTGTAAGAGCCAAACCCCGGTTCCGGTTCCTTTGTTCTGTGCATCACTATTAAGAGGCATTTACGCGTTTAGATGCACACCCCTAATGTCAATGTAAGGAAAATTTCAACTTTTGAAATGACACACAAAAAAAAAAAAACACCGAAACACGTAAACGTAATTTTGGCTCGTAGATTACGGCCCTGTATACCGTTTTTCTCAAGTCTCTTTCGTCAGTTATTTTCATGTTAAGTTTGCTTTGTGAATGAAAAAAAAATGCCAACTTTAAGAGAAAAAAAATTTAAAAAAAGCGATTTTTTGTAAATTCTTTTGATTTGTGTTAAAGCCTGTTCGTTTGCAAAAACATCAAGCTGGCAACGAATTTGTTGATAAATACAGTTGTAAATCATCAAATAATCGTAATAATTTATTTTTTATGAAATATACCCCGCGTCATACTTATGAATGCGCCACATGTTTATAAGTTTTTAATATTTATCTTTTGTTATTTAATTTTAATAACGCTTTTACAAAAATAAAATTTATTCTTTAACAAAGACCGAAAATTCATGTTTAAAACTTTGTGAAATATTAAAAAAAGAATATTATGTTATATATAAAATTAGAGTAATGCACAATCAAAATCTTTCTAAGAAATCTAATAAAAACTCAAAGGAAAGTCTGTTGATTTTTTTTTAATATCTATGGGCATTATAAAGTTTGGATTTATTCGCTATTTCCAAAACAATAAACTATATTTTTATAAAAAATAACTTAAGTTAAATAACCAAAAAAATAAATTGTTAAAACTGGTCAATATGTGGTGCGCTTATAATTATGACACGGGGTGTATTACTGGGAAAGAACGTTGCTCATACGCCATGCATGAACTATTAATGAAATAAATTTGTATGGAAAAATACCAAGTATTATATTTTCCGCCACTGTTTGTTGTAGCTTGTAGTGCTGTTTTTTTTTCAGTAAACCTCACCTAAATATACGCCCTGTAAATATCGCGCGCCTTTACTGACGTGAGTAAAATTATGAAATATAGAATGTGCGTGTTGAATTTCTGAGTTTCATTGAATTCCGTTTTGTTTTTTTTTTTTGTTATTTCAATTTTCAGGAAACTATAAATGGCGCTCGTTAGTGATAATGTCTATGCTGAAAGGAAATAATAAACGATTGTGTACGATTGACCAAGTGGTTGTAGTTAATTAAATAATTCACTGAATTGAACTTCACTTCTTGATTCCTTCCTCGAGTTTGAATTTATTTTGCTGTCCAATGGCCTAACTAACTAGTTCTGTGAGGAAATATTTTATTTTTGGCAGTACAGCAAGAAAGTGGTTGTATGTGGGGAGTGGTCTTTAGTACGTACGTGCAATCGTCATCGGCTTTAGGGTAAGGCGACGCCGAACGATTTATGTTAAAATATAATTCATTCGACCGTATTAAAAAAAATGATCTGATATTTTTATATTTTTTAGATTTTTGTTAGTTCTTCCTTTTCTATGCACAGCTTTTTTCAATATTTTTCGTTTCGTAAACATTTCAAAGTTTGTATTTCAACTCTGTTACTAAAACCCTCAGAATAAAAAATGATAATCATTGGCAATCTTTTTGAAAAGTATGTTTGTAAATTCTATTTTAATTGGATTAAAGCTTTTTCAAGCATCTTTCGGTTGATAACAATCTCTTAATATTTAGTTTAATTTAAAATGTTTAGCCTTTCCTTTTTACATTGGTGGTAATGCTATTGAAAAATATTCCTTAATCAAAAATTTCTTGAATACCTTTCAGTTTAGTTTAGTGGTCACAACACTGAATGTATTTATATTTTTAATGAAAAAAAGAGAAGAACACAAAATAATGATAAATACTTTCACGTGAAAAATCCATAACACTTAGGACCAAAAATTAAATGGCATCTACATATCTATATAATACGCGAAGGGATTGATTGTCCAGATCATCAGATCTGCACCGTTCGTTCGATTTTCAAAAATGAGGTGTCAAATTACAGGACTTGGGCTGTAGATGTGCTTTTTCGAAAAGCGTTGCCATCTTATAACAAATTAAATTCCAATTAAAAAAGTTAAATAAATTAGTAAAATATGGGTATCAATGGAAATGGTTTTGAAAAGGTTTAATTTTGCCACCTGCTTAAAAAGTCAAATTCAATTCCAATTAAGGAAATTATATAAGTGAAATATTCATAACAGTATGAGCGTCGGACGACAGAGGTTTAAGGAGGTTTTAATGTGGAAATATTTTGAAGGGGGTTGCCACCTGTTTTAAAAGTCGAATTTAGTTAACTTATACACAATGAAGTATTAAAGTACATCAAACGAAAGAGTGTTAATAAACCTTTAGGTTGAACACAAAGAATAAGGGTTACCATCCGTTTAAAAAGTTAAAGTCAAATTACTTAATAAGTTAGNTTTGAACACAAAGAATATTTTCGAGTTGTTTAAACAGGGTTACCATCCGTTTAAAAAGTTAAAGTCAAATTACTTAATAAGTTAGATTTATTATTTTAATATTGGTATCAATTGAAATGGGTTTGAAAAGGCTTTATTTCAGAACTATATTTTAGGGGGTTGCTACATGTTTAAAAAATTAAATTCACAATAAATGATATTTATGAAGGCTTTTATCTTTAAACTACTTTCAGAGCGGGTTGCCACCTGTTTGAGAAGCTGAGTATAATTAATTTATACACAGGTTATATGAAAAATTAAATTTCGGGTGGGTGTCAAGCAAAAGACGGTTAAGAAACCTTTAGTTTGAAGATTTTAATGTTTGAATAGGGTTGCCAGGTATTTAAAAAATGAATTTAAAATTATTTGATTACTTGGAGGAATTTTTAAAAGATATGTATCAATGTATTATGGAACGAATTTCCGTCATCCCTTGTCAAATTTGGTTTGGAGACAAACCGGTTTCGGCGTTGTGCCATCTTCAGTGTCATTTTTCGTTCTGCATAATTTTTGTTGGTTGCTCGTATTTATACTCCTTGTTAACTACCTCTTTCTTTTGTTAGGTA